ACGGGCTTTTTTGATAGCTGCTGCACACTGCTGGCACATACTTGGTCCACTAGGATATCTAGTGTAGTAATGTAATAACTCTCTCAGTTACTACTATTAAGCCAGGGAGCACCTATTCTATATCTAGTGTTTGGCGTTCCTGCCTAAGTACACCACTGAACTGCATTTTGTTGGATAGGATCCAACCCTCAAGTCTATCAAGATCCTTCTGACGCTTGAGTTTATCTTCCAAAATGTTAGCAATTCCCCAGTTTGGTGTCATCTACAAATTTTATGAGTTTCTTTTCTATCCCTTAATTTAGATAACTTGTGAAGATGTTGAAGAGCCCTGGGCCCAAGACAGAACCATGAGGCACTGAATGCTCCCCATTATATAGTTGTAGTTCCATTGAGGACTGCGTGTTGGATGTGATTGGTCAGCCAACTGAAAATCCATTTGGAGGTGATACTATCTGTCCCACATTGTTATATCTTACCAAGAATTGAGCCGTGGTCTACTTTGTCAAATATCTTACTGAAGTCCAAGTATACTAGGTTTACAGCATTTCCTCGATCCACTAATTTAGTCACTTTATCAAAGAAGACAATAAGATTTGTATGACAAGTTCTGTTTTTTAATAAACCCATGCTGGCTTCTAGGAATTGCCTTACAAACCTGTTACTTAGTTACCTTTTCCAGGATTTTTCCAGGTATTAATGTCAAGCTGATTAATCTATAATTTCCTGGATCTATTTTTCCCCTTGTTGTAAACTGGAACCACATTAGCTCTTTTCTAATCTTCTGGTAATTCCCCTGTGCTATAGGAGCATTGAAAAATTACATTCAATGGTTCCGAAATTATATCTTCCAGATCCTTTGGATCAAATCATTTCTACTCATCCAGGGTAGATAATGGATATATTTCTTTTACCTTAAAGTAGCATGAGTTCATCTAGTTTCCTGTCTGGTTTACTTGGGAGACCTGATGTGACTCATGCAAGTCTGAAGGTCATAAGCATGGATTTGAACTTGATGGCCCATATAAGCCCATCCTATTTTACAATTCATTACATTTTATTCCCATCATATGATAACTTAGTTTGCAACTTGTGGCAGGTTCTAAAAGCTTTATCAGCATACAGTACCCAGACAACTGTTTGGATTCAACTGTCTATAAACATCTTGCCTGAAACAAGTCAGCTCTAGCAAGAGGAGACTCAAAATTTATAAAATATTCAAAATCTTGAGAAGTCATCCTCTTCCAAATCTGCAATAACTCAGTGAGATAAGAACTGAGAATACGCATGGGAGTACAGAGTAGGAATCATTTGGGAAGCTGAAAGCAATGATCCCAAGTATCACAATTTATCGGCTGAATAATACTCTGACCCAGACCTGGACGTTATACATCCCATGGGCCACATCCTGCCTGCAGGTTGTCCCAGGCCAGCATGCAGCATTAGGTGGGGGCATCAGCAATAGAGGCTAGGGAAGGCAGTGCAGGATTGGAGTGAGGAAACAGCAGCCCTTCACAAGAGTTCCAATTTCTCATGTGAGCCTCTAGGAAAAATTAATTACCTAGCCCTTCTCTATCCTCTAACCTAGCCACGGACTACAGGTAGTCCTCAACTTACAACAGATCATTTGTCAGAGCTGAAAAAAGTGACTTAAGTCATTGCCCAGAAGATCGTTGGTTGCCCTCTCCCCTCTTTGGAAGAGCTTTATAGCTCCCGCTGCCTTGAGAAAGTTCAAAACATTCTCAAAGATCCATCTCATCCTGGGCACCCTTTTTTTCACACTTATGACTGCTGCAGCATCTCTATGGTCACATGATTGACATCTGGATGCTTGACAACTGACTCACATTTATGACAGTTGCAATGTCTTGGAGTCATGTGATCCCTTTTTGCAACCTTGCGACAAGCAAAATCAATTGAGAAGCCAGATTCACCTAACAACCACATTACTAATTTAACAAATGCAGTGTTCCGCTTAACAAATGCGGCCAGAAAAACCAGAAAATGGGATAAAGCTCACTAAACAAATTTCTCACTTAGCAACATAAATTCTGGGCTCAATTGTGGTCTTAAGTCAAGGAGTATCTGTGTTACTTTCTTCACAATGTTTCCTAAAATTCTGATACAAAGCAGTCTTCAAGGTGCCGTATTTGGTAACAAGGTGTTGTCTCACAAAAAAATGGTGTGTGTTAGATTAAGTGTCCCTGTAGCTCTTTATAAAGAATAAAGTAGATGAGTTTGTTGGAGATGAACTACAACAAGGAAGAGGAAGTATAGCACAGTGAGACTTGCAAGATTGATGTCAGCTCTGCTGTGTAGACCAAGAAATCAGCTCCAGGGGAAGGCTAAATTGAAGGTGGCCCAGCAGAGATACTACCTGAGACTTCTAAGGAAACAACACCTGAATGAAAAACTGCTGGTGACCTTCTACCGCTGCACCAGAGAGAGTATCTTAACTTACTACACCTCTGTATGGTTTGCCAATTGCACTGTGGCAGATAGGAAAGCACTCCAGAGGGTTAACATCATTGCCCAGAGGATCACTGGTTGTCCTCTCCCACCTTTGGAAGAGCTTTATAGCTCCCGCTGCCTTAAGAAAGTTCAAAACATTCTTAAAGATCCATCTCATCCTGGGAACCCTTTTTTTTTAACTATTACCATCTGGCAGACAGTACAGAATAATAAAAACAAGGACAAGGAATAGGTTGAAAAACAGCTTCTATCTCAGGGCAGTAACTCTATTGAATTCTACTGTATAGTGCAATATTAATGCAATATCAGGTTTTCAATTCAATCGCATAGAACAAGGCTCTTCAAACTTGGCAAGTTTAAGACTTGTGGACTTCAACTCCCAGAATTCCTGAGCTAACATGACTGGAAGAGGAATTCTGGGAGGTGAAGTCCACAAGCCTTAAAGCTGTCAAGTTTGAAGACCCCTGGTATAGAATGTGAAGGATGTGTGTTTGTGTTTTATTTTTATAATTATAATGTACACTGAAGATGGTATTTAATTTCATTGTATGAGGTGCCATGACAATAAACTAAACTAAACCATGGTAACTGAATTTTCCAAGTTTGATTGTGCTTTACCTCCTCCTCCTTCTTATAATTATAGTGCCTTAAAGAACCCGTCTTAGCTGCATTATATGGCTGTTCTGCACTTAAAGAATGTTTTATCCCTTGTCACTCTGGCAATGGAGCTCCTATATTCAGCCAAAATCTCCCTTAGGTTTAAATAGACAGCAACTGCCTAGGTTTCTGTACCAGCAATATACATATTGTAATGGGCAGTAAGAATAAGCTTGAAGAACAGAATGAAAAGCTGCAACCAGGGAAATGGACAAAACAAAAATTTGAGTCCAATACTGAAATGTTAATTTGAGAAAACAGACTGAATTGTTCACCCTAGTTCTCTTGAAAATAAAAGGAGGGAAGAGGAAGCCCACTGAGAAGTGCAAAATTCTGTTACTGCAACTTTGCAATAAAAATTAATATTTAGTTAATATTAACATTCCTAACTTTGGTTTCCTAGCCTGGTCTACCTTCAAAGGGAAGAAGACATATATACTCATGTATTGATTTCTTCTGGAATTCTAGCCTGATCTCTACATAGGCTTCCAGGAACGGATCCCTGTTTCTGCTCAGATATTTAGGATGGGTGAAAAGTGGTAGAAAATATGTTACTGTGTAATAGGCGTGAGCATAATCTTGGAAGACAGGAGGAAGAGCCACAGCCTTGGCAATCGTCTAATAAGAGAAATCTGATACCAGAGGAGGGGGGTGGGGGTAGAGAAAGCATTTCAGAAGGGAAACCTCCCTATTTCTCTGGAATGTTAAAGGTGAGGTAGAAGGACAGTGCTTTCAGACTTACAAGATTCTTACTGTAAATTTACAGGAAATGTAGTATTAGTACTCATGGGTTGGGTTTCCTGTCTGAACCAGAGATGGTATTCAACAGATTCTGACCAGTTCTGGAGTGGAAATTTTGATTAATTTGGAGAACTGGCAAATGGCACCTCTAACTGGCCATGCCCCCATCTATTCTTTGCCTCCTAGCTGATCTTCTGGGTCTTCTTTGTTGCCCTGCACAGGAGAACAGACCTGGAAAGTAGGTTAGGAAGGGCCGACGCACTATCCTTTCTTCACAACTTATAGGCAGATAAAGGATTGCTGCTGGATTTTTATCAGATACATTTTGGACATCTTAGTATACTGGAGATGTTACCTTCAGTGATACGATGGAATCAAATCGACCAATCTTGCTATTCCTTTTATTTAGTAGACATGCACACTTCTTATTTTTTTTCACAGGGCTTTTCCTTTCCACATCAATTGTATCTTGCCACAAAATAGTTAAACTAATGCTGCACCCCTTTCCAGTTTTGACAAATAGTTACTTAGCTGCCATTCCTTGTTTACTTGTACATTCTAACCAGAGATTTATGATGTTTGGGAGAACGTTCCAAAACATCCTGCTTTGGCTTCAAACATTTTTTACTTAATTCAGTTGCAATTCGCCTTGTTATCCAAAATGTTATAGCAATATAGCATTTCCTTCTGTGACTTGTCTTGCAAGCAGTTTTAGATATTTACAACAACTGCAGTCCTTTTCTTCTTTTTAATGCTTATAGATTAATTTTATACTGTACATAATTAAAAGAGTATACTTGAAAATATATCAAATGCGTGGATTCATTGTGTGCGCCACAGTTTAATAAATTTGATAAACAGAAATTAAATGCACATACCATTTAAACAAAGCCAGACTAAAGCCCCAACACTTAAACCATTATACAAAAACCACTTTTACTACCCGTAAAAGAACTATGTTAATAACAGAATCTAAAAATGGGCTTGTTTTATTATCACAACCCAATTCCTGCTTCTATCCATCATTAAAATATTCTGAACTTAGACTGAATGGAAAGCAAACTAGTTTGGAGATTACTGTGTGCAGTATACTTCTGGCTGAACAAAGAAAAACTCAATTTCTTTGTACTCACGGAGAAAGTGCTTTTCCAGCAAGGCAATTTCCAAGTGGCCTTTGATCTCATTTAATCTGTCAGACTCTGTTCTGTTGTAATCGGGAACTCCTGTCGCCATGATGACAGTCCCAGGACCAGCCTACGGAGAGAGGGAGGGGGGGGGTTATAGATGCTGGCAGCTCAGAAGCCAATCTCTGGAGGAAGAAGAGAAGCAAGACCATCCCACACACACCCCTGGCACACACTCCAAAATGCAAATAGAAAGGAGTAGATCAGCAACGGTTATCTTTTTATTTACTAGTTTATCTGGGGCAAACCAAGAGCTGGGCAGAGCCATGTACAGCATTAGCCTGCTGACATGAATCAATGGAAGCTCATGAAAGGAACCCTATCTCCCTCACGGCGTGTCTCGCATCAGTGCGCCTGCTCAGACCTCCACGCCAAATGCTTTGATTTCTGCAGCAAGAAAACGTCATTATCTAAACTCCCTCGGATTGGCTAGAAGCTGCCTCCAAATAAGGATCCTTCCAAGTCAATTATGGGCCATGGTTTCAAGAGGGCCATTTAAACAATTAGGAAGCCCGTAAACTGAAGAGTGCGGCACTCAGGATAAACCCTCTCTCATGAATATGCGAGAACAGTTTGAAGGGATCAGGGAGGGGGAGGAGGGGGGAAAAAAAAACTTGCAATGTTTAAAGATTCCTACCACTGTAATATTCTTGAGATATTAACTTTAAAAAAAATACACAGAGAGAGAATAGGACAGATAATGCAGCATTACAAAGATCAGGACAGATTGATATGCTCATGTAGATTTGGGTATAAAAATAAATAAATATATAAAAAATAAATAAAAATACCAGGGAGTGAGTGTGTGTGTGTGTGTGTGTGTGTGTGTGTGTGTGTGTATCAATTTCCAAGCAAGACAGAAGCTATACGGTTGCAGGAACTGAGCAAGGCTAGTCTAGTGAAGAGAAGGATCACCCTATAAAGCCTTAGTAAGACCACACCTAGAGTACTGCATCCAGTTTTGATCACCACTATAAAAAAAGATGTTGAGACCAGTGGTGCATTTCAAAAAATGTTGCCACCGGTTTGGTGGAAGTGGCTGGGTGCACATCCACACACTTTGCGTGTGCGCGCAGGCCCGATTGCACGCTTTGCACAGGCGCAGAGGCTTTCCAACTCACCTCCTACAATCCTGCACTCTCCCTGTTGCTTCAGCAGCTGCCATGCAGCGGTCTGCTATGCCACGCAAAGCAGATGCGCTTCCAAAGCAAGACATAAAAGTTAGTATGGGAGCCTGGGGGACAACAGGTGGGCCCAACAGCAGAGAGTCGGAAAGAACTGGTTCGGTCTCTGCTGCTAATCGGCGCTACCGGCCAGGCGAACTGGGCCAAACCGGTAGAATACCACCACTGGTTGCAGAGAAGTGCAGAGAAGAGCAACCAAGATGATTAGGGGACTGGAGGCTAAAACATACGCTGAACTGTTGCAGGAACTGGACATGGCTAGTCTAGTGGAGATAAGGACCACAGGAGACATGATAGCTGTCTTCCAATATTTAAGGGGCTGCCACAGAGAGGAGGGGATCAAGCTATTTTCCAAAGCACCCGAAGGCCAGACAAGGAAAAATGGATCGAAATTGAAGGAAAGATTCAACCTGGAAATAAGGAGGAATTTTTTGACAGTGAGAGAAATCAACCCATTGGACAGCTTGCCCTCAAGAGGTTGTGGGAGCTTCATCACTGGAATCTTTCAAGAAGAGACTGGAGTGCCATCTATCAAAAATGATGTACGGTCTTCTGCTTGGGCGGGGTGTGTGTGTGTGTGTGTGTGGACTAGATGACTCTGTTAATCTGTAATTCTGGTTGTAAACTATGATTATCATAAAGCACATCACCACATGTGACTGGACTTGATTTTATTACCTTTCTTGTGACTGTGGTTAGGCGAATATGATGGTCATTAAGTGACCCACTGTTTGCTAATGAGCGGTGGGTTTTGGGGGTTTTTTGGAGGTGGGGGAGGTTGCAGGAAACCAGACATAAAGACGGCTTTCTGGAAACACTGTCATAAATCATGGTCGCAGGACCTTGGGGTGCTGCAAACAGCTACAAATGTGGCCCCACTGCCAAGCTCCTAAAATGTGGTCCTGTGACTTCAAAAAGGGTGATGTTGTGACTTTGAAGCCAGGTTGCAAGTAGCTTTTTGTGGGGGAGGGGCTGTCCATCAAAACTTTGAATGGTCATTAAGAGATCAGTCATAAATTGGGGACTATGGTATAAACTTAAAGAAAGGAAGAGATGCATACGTATGAGAGGGTGAATGAATGCTAAAACATCTTGTAAGAACAGATGGCCATGCATGAAAGGAGCTAATAGACAAGGCCACAATTGTTATTCTATTAATATATTATATATTAATATGTTAAATTATTGTTTCTAAAGCTGCATTTGAGATTAGAACATGTCGCGTAGGGATTAACGGGAGCTGATAGTAGTTCAGTGGGAAAACTGGTGGGAAAAACAATGCAGACAATAAAGTTTGCCTCAAAATGTATTTGTGTTATTATGAAGTTTAAAATAATATCACTTGAAGGTAAATATATTGCCACTGATAATTATAGTTTTTCCCCTTCCGGGAAAATGGTGCTGTAGCAAGAGATGTAGATGAGTTAGAAAGGATGAATCTGTAAAAACTACACTTCAGAAATAAAGAATTAAGCAGAAAATTCAACCACAGATCTGCGAGGAAAACATATACATTAATCAAGAATTATCTGGGCAGCAATGCATTTTTCCCACTTTTTAAACCTATAATATATACACAAACATTGAAAGTAAAACTGAAACATGTGCCAATATCCTTATTTATACATTTAAATATAGTGAAGCTTATCTCCGATGCAAATGCAAAAAAATTCAGACATAAGAGCTTTTAATTTTATAGCGGGATATTTTCTTTCGAGCATTCAATATACATACATCTAGAAATTAATTTTCTACATAAACCCCCTCCCCCAACATTTTAGGAATATGAATTCCTATGCAGTCCTTTTATTTGTCTCTGCGTGTTAAAAAGGAAATCAGAATCACTCCTGTTTTTATCTTTTTTCTTGTTTTCTGGAAGATTGGCTATGCGGTCATCTGTGGAAAATAACGTCGTATCATCAATGGCTGACCTAACAGTAAATAGGCAGGTAGGCTAGTGTCATTCTGAAAGGCTAAAATTGTACTCCATTATCTGCTTCAATGCTTTTACTGTGTTCTGAGAAATGGTGATACTTCAAAAGCAGCCACTGGGAATCACAAGTATTTCTGCCACGGAAATCGGGGTTAAAAGTATGCAGATTGAGGTACTATCAAGTGATCCAGAATCAATATAACAGAATTCAGTTCCATGTAACTGGATATAATTCCACAGTCAATTCTAATCCCCAACCCCTATTAACTACAAGAGGCCAATGCTTCAACAATAAAAATGATGTAACAAGTTGTATTCTGGGCTTTTATTTTTACCCCAAATTCCTATGTTCCCATCAGTCTTATTTTCTTATTAATACACCCAGATGCACAAATGGAAAGTTACACTTGCTTAGCACTTATCTTTGTCCCCATAAGATATTAATCTAACTTCACAGTATTTTAAACACATCAACGTAGAGTTCTTAGAAGGTGAAGCAGAAATGACTTTTAAATTATAAATGAAGGCAAGGTTTTCACATAATTACTGAGGAAAGGGACATTTAGCATGCTTGTTCAGAAATAAGTACTCTGGGTTCAGTACCTTTTTCAAGCTATAATTTTATATTGATTTATCTAGAAAGTAGGACTGAAGGAACTCAGTCAAGCTTACTTCTGAGCCAGACTATTTAGCAGGAACAATCCGTTCTTCCAGAGTCACCTTCTCCCTTATAATTTTGAAAACTGCACAACTTGTTAATGATTTGAGAAAGAAATCACATAAAAACTGCAATACAAGCCCTACATAAAGCTTTATGTAATGGAGCCTATGGTATCTCCCCAGCCTGTAAGTGCTGGCAGAGTTGATATATTATGGGTTCCTATTATGTAAACAATGTTATCTATCAGGACCCAAATGGGGCCTTGGAAGTGCACTTTCCATTTAGCCTTTTGATATAGCCTTCCATCTGAAATTTAAGGGAACCCTACCCTTCTAGCCTTTCAGAAGCCATGATGACCAGGCTCATTACATAAGCATTAGGCTAAAATGGGGGTTGAGTCAGAAGGTTAATAGTTTGGTTGGTCTGGTGCCTAGTGAAAAGGATTGTTCTGTTTTTGTTCTATTGCTTTTATTGAGATGATGTAATGGGTATTGGGAATGGCTTTGAGAGACGGAAGGCACAGGCCACTACTAAGGCAGCGCTCAGATTATTTGTCGAGGTAGGCCCAAAAAATAACGGTTTACCTTCCAGAGATCTAAAGGACCTGGAAGATGCAATCTCGGAGCCACTGAATATAATATTTCAAAGCTCTTGTAGCACAGACGAACTACCAGAAGACTAAAAAAGAGCTGATGTTGTTCCAATCTATTAAAAGAGGAAAAAAAATGGATCCTGGAAACTATCAACCAGTCAGCTTGACATCAGAACCTGGGAAAATCCTGGAAAAAAAAATAATCAAGTGGAGAATTTGTGAGTACCTAGAAACAAACAAGGCGATTACAAGATGAAGACATGAGTTAGTTAAAAGCAGATCATGCCAGACAAATGCTATTGCCTTCTTTGACAAAGTGACTAAATTACTGGATCAGGGAAATGCTGTGCTCATGGTATACTTGGACTTTAGTTAGGCATTTCACAAAAGTAGACCAGAGCCTATTTCTTGGTGAGAGAACAATGTGGAATAGACAGGACCACCAAGAGATGGATTTGCAGTTGGCTGAATAATCACACCCAACAGGTAGGCCTCGATAAGACTATATCTATAGGGAGGAAGCATGCAGTGGGGCACCTCAAGCTTCTCTTTTGGGTCTGGTGCTCTTCAACATTATCATAAATGATCTCAATGAGGAGATAGAAGGTGAATTCATCCAATTTGTAGAAAAACACCAAGCTGGGGGGCATTGCTAACAAGACGAACTCAAGATTCCGAAAGAACCTGACAAAGTGAACAC